GACTTTATGTTCAGAAAAGAAAACACTTGTGCGGACGTAAGAAAAATTGAATAAAAAGCTTAATCGCAGTACCTTATCAGTCGTCTTTAAAGAAACATGTATAAGAGAGGAATTGCTGCCCAAATACACAATTTTATCTATCTATCTATCTATCTATATATATATATATATATTTATATATATATATGTGTGTGTGTGTGCCCGTAAGTGTGATTACGTGAATGAAACGCATGTGGCATTTTGTTAATATATATATATATATATATATATATATATATATATATATATATATATATCTGGTAAGTAATAAGCTCATTAGTTAACTCGTTCAAGCTCCTATTTCTCCAAAAGACTATGAGCTTCATTAAGGGAACGATTCAGTAATTTTTACTGACCTTTTTCTCTCCCAGAGATCGATCGATTGATTTATTGATTTGTTTTTGTTTTTTTTTTCTTTTTACAGCGGGGAAAGTGGTGGAGAAGTTTCGGCAAAAATTTCGATTAAATTTTCCATTCTTTGCCGTTCAATTTTATTTGCCACGCACAATTGTATTCAGTGTGTCTTTTAAAGATAATTAACATCTTGCCTCTCCCTTAAGTGGGAAGATGAGTAGAGCATCTGGTCCCTTGTTAAAGAAGGGCATAAAATTGCACACGGATGGCGGTAGGATGGGTCGGGGGGGGATGGTTAACAGCTTCGGCTGATCGCGATGATAATTGGGCCTGCTTTAATTCTCGTCTTCTTTGCCAAGATCCGGAGAATCCAAGAAGGCCGTCTACCATTCACCAGGCTTCATCCACGGATCAATTTTAACTCCAAAATATCGATTCATGCTGCTCATATTTCTAAAATTGCTTTGTCTTCGTCGACATCTTTTATTTCGTACATAATTTTCATTTATTTTATTTTTAGATATTTCATCGAAGACACACAGACGCGCACGCGCACACACATAGATAGATAGATAGATAGATAGATAGATAGATAGATAGATAGATAGATAGATGGCCTGACAAATGCGTTTAGCATGAAACAGACTGTTATCTCTGGCTTTTGACTTCAATGTCAATTTCATATTTGCATAAGCTCTATTGAGCACTTTAATCCATAAATATAGCATACCTTAAAAATATATTTTATCATTATATATATATATTATAATTATTTTCTACATTTAGTTTCAGTTTTGAAACATGGTAATTTTCTGTATCGCGATGGAATCATATTTTCAAAAAGAAAATAATTATAATATTTTGCTCCACTGTTTGCATCGAGCACTGATTATTTTTAATAAAAAAAACCGCTAAGAACACCAGATTATAAATCTTACTGCTCTTTCTTATTATTTTAATATATACATATATATCGTCATCCACAGACAGACTGTTTCGCTGAATCACAGCTCATCAGTGGGGCTAGACGTCCGGTTGCCTCTAGTTAGGATCGAAATCCGATTGAATTAGCGTCAGTCAGGGGATTCTACCACTACCCCATTGGCGCACGGAATTTAAGCGTATTTATTATTAGATAAGCATATAGTGATTGAGAGAACTCGATTCGATTTACCGAAGAGTCTTATATATATATATATATATATATATATATATATATATATGAAGAAATATATACGGAAAAAACAAACAAATGTTTTATGAATATGTCCTGAAGATGGTCTACTAGACCGAAACATCCGACGTTGACATTATATTAACATTAAAACAGCAGAATTGCATATTAGAATTTTTGTTTGTTTTCCGTATATTTTTCTTGATACTGTCGGATCTATATCCATATATTTGCTTACATATATATATATATATATATATATATATATATATATATATATATATTAATACAAATATTTCTCACTCAGCTGATTAATGTTATATTTAGCGCCCCGTCTCCAGAGTTTCATAGGCAGACCTGTCCGTCCACTCGTCGTCAGGAGGTTTCAGCAGGCATAACAAAATCCCAAATATTAAATGGAGTATATTAAGAAATCTAAAGACTAACACAATAATTGGTAATACGTGTAGGCGAAAAACTAGTTATAACAACGTATAAAGACAGCACTGAATTACTGAACGTGAGGACAGAGCTCATGTCCAAGTGTAGACACGTTAAGAAGTTCAGCTTGAGGTTATTTGAACCCGGATAAAGTTAAAAGATTTTTTATTTTATTTTTTACACCTCCCCCGCCCCACTACTTCCGGTTTCGAACGAAAGTGCTTAAGTTGTTGAGCTCCATGTCGTTCTGAACAAACCACCTGAGGAGACCGTAGTGGTCGAAGCCGCGGTAGTGTTCTGGTCAGCATTCATTTTCTTGGACATTAAACAGCGCTGCAAGTCTGGTCTTCCAACTTGATATTGAGTATTTGTAATGCATACGATCATAACAAATATTTTACTGTTTGATTGCTCTGGCGTATATCTATATATATATATATATATATATATGTGTGTGTGTGTGTGTGTGTGTGTGTGTGTGTGTGTGAAAAGTGTATATAAATATAAATAAATATATATATGCATAATTATTTATATATTATATGCGCGGTACTTATTAGAAAGCGCTCAATATCAGAGATAGAGCTAACATATTTGGTTGGATAGATGTGAGTTGGTGACCCTGGGTTTCACGCTTTAGCGATCGTCAGACAAATATATATATATATATTATAGGACAAAGTTTGGAGGAACTCTCTCGATTTAATGATTAGTGATTATCATACATTGTTTCGTTTTTTAATTAACATTTAATACACTAGCATATTGAAACTATTTCCGTACAAATTTTTAAGAGCGGAGGTTAGCTAAAATTTGAACTCCGCCAACCCTTGGATAATCATTAGACTGCAAGATAAATTAGGCAAAAAGTAACAATTTTAAGAGAACTTTATGTAGTAATTGGTTAATTCCGTTATTAACATCATGGCATCAGAAAATTTTCACCGAATATTTTTTGTAAAAAATATAAAAATAAAACAACTTAAGTGCATACACATTTTACATAGAGAAAACCCTTCGTAATGTTTGATCTGTACTTGTGAGAAAAATTTTTTTGTATCTCTTTAAGGCATGGGCTACTAGGAATCCCTTCAATGAGTCTATCAGAACATTTTCAAATCAAACCGAGGCTCAAAGAATTACTGGAATTTTTGATGTCTTCATCTGCTACATTTTTTTGATTTCCACTTCTAGACCTTTGTATTTTGATGATTTCTTTTTAAGATCTTCAAAGATAAATTACATATAAATTTTTGTCTGTTTTTCATTGGTCAAGTAGACCTTATGTGCATCTGACTTGTCAAGCAGCATTCGCGTGCAAAATTTATGTGTGTATGCGTATCATAATTGTAGTTTTCTATGTGCGATTCGGATGGTATGTGTATTCGTTTGTTTGTATGTTCTTGTGTGTGTCTGTGTGTGTGTCTGTGTGTATGTTTAGTAGGCATTTTTATTTGCGTTTGGTGGTTAAAATGAAAAATACCAGAATTGTCTTTTTCTCCTCCATATTTCATTATCTAATGAACCTTTAATAAAAGCGAAACATTCTACATTTATAAACATTTCATATTTGTTCTTTATCCTGTCATATATATATAGTAATTAATAGGAGGATTTGATAATGATATTTAATTAATTCATCGAGTCTGATAGAAACCTTTACAGAATGCAGGAAGCACTGGACGGCCATTTCGTCCTATATTTGGGACTCATCAGCAGTGCGCATCCACTACCGAGTATTGAACCCTGACAGTTGGGTTGTCAAGCGAACACCATACCAACTGTTCCAAATGGGATATCGAGCACTTTATCCCATAAATATAGCACACATATATTTCTTCATATATATATATGTGTAAACGCGTCAACAATAACTACAGTTTTCCTATTGTCATTTATATTTATAAATATTGTCTTTTCTACACTTTAACTCTGAGAAATTTATATATATATATATATATATATATATATATATATATATATATATATATATATATATATATATATATATATACCCATATATGATTGGTGTATATGGAATAAATTTCAATAACCAACAATTACTATTCTTAAAAGAGTGCTCAATACAGAGTAGAGCAGATATAATTATTTATTTAAAATTATGACATAAATATGTTATAAAATCACTACAAAATAACCATTTTGTTTCAACACCTTCGATCACTTGATAAGGCACCGGATGTGTTGAAACAAAATGGCTATTTTGCAGTGATTTTATAACATATTTATGTTATAATTTTTAAATAAGTAATTATATATATATATATATATATATATATATATATATATATATATATATATATATATTTAACAGATAGAATTTTATTAACAGATATCATGTACTAACAGATATTATATATCTGCCTAAAAATTCATTTTCAAACTATAACCTTCTGATGATAAGTAAAGTTGCTTCTGGTCCAATAATTATTGTTCGAAATAACAATTGAATACTTTATTGGCAGAGATTCTGTTAGATTCTGTATACGTTATTATATAATTTTACTTATATCAATAGGTGTAATTACTATTATATATATTTGCAAAGGTTGGCGTATTCTACCTCAACGCCTGTGGTGTGAAATAATCATTCCGGATCTAACTCTATACACTCGCGAAATGGTCCGAGACAACCACTGTGCTATGGTAGTAGTTTTGATAGATGTATTTTCTAAATACTTTGTTTTTTATTGATGATTAGTTTTTAAATCTGGTTAACCTTTTGCAGGTTATTTAAAGCCAGAAAACATTCTTGGAATGTAAGAATGCTTTCAAACTAATAATGATTTTTGCTGATACAAGTTCTACTAATTCACGCATATCTGGGAGATGGGGTTAGAAAAGTTGGATTCATGCCTTTCTCAAGTACATTTGCACCTAAGTGAATCTAACGAACCTGACTGGAATTCGAACATCGCTCTCCGATTTCCAATTCCGAGCCCTTATCTAATACACTACTCGTACATCCAAGCTTACAACACCTGGTATTCCAAAGCAGTCACCCATCTAGGTACTGACCAGGCTTGACGTCGCTTAACTTCGGTAATCGTACGATCATATGACGTTTCAACGTGATATGGCTGTAAGCCTTAGTACACTTAGTACATGTGAGGTTATTTACTTAGTTTAGTCCAGTGGGACACTCACAGATAATCGATCTTGCTAATCACTGTAATCAGTTAAGTGTCATACGCGATACATGCTTGGCCGATCATGCCTCTCCACAACTTCCTCACCTAAATAACTGTTGACTCTTTTATTTAAGTGCCATACGTAATACACGCTTGTGTTATCATATGTCTTTCGATACATGACTGACTAGGCAGAAGATTTTTTCCCAGAGGAGGTTGCTATTTCTTTCTTCTGTAGACTGGTTGCTAACCAAGGTTAAAGAATCTAATCTGTCCTGCTATTCAACCCATAGTTGGGGGAAGAAGAGATGGATTCATACCTTTCCCAAGGCTATTTGTGAGTAAATTAATATAACGAACTCAACTGGAATGCATTCGGCATATTTATATGGTTGCCTTAATACAAGTGCGTGTGGATTGCAGTGTGATCAGATATGTTAGTAATATTTTTACAGTAAAATATATCATATTTGTTATTATCGTACTTATTATAAAACCCAGGTTGTGTGTGTGTGTGTGTGTGTGTGTGTGTGTGTGTACGTTTATATATTGGATTGGATTTCCTACATTTTTCAACCGATTTCAACAAAACTTCACAGAACTACGTAAAATTACTTTGCGGTGGTTCTGACAGTGCCAAAAATTGGAAAAACAATTGTTTTTGCACGAAATCAATTTGAAAACACAATTAAGAGGCATCACTTTCGCGGAATGAAACGGGGACAACTCATATCGAGTTATACTTATTATAAAAACCCGGGTTGTTTGTGTGTGTGTGTGTGTGTGTGTGTGTGTGTGTGTGTGTGTGTGTGTGTGTGTGTGTGTGTGTGTGCGTTCATTTATATATGGGATCGGATTTCCTACATTTTTCAACCGATTTCAATAAAACTTCACTTTTTTTGGCAGGTAGTGTTTCTTATTGTCTTGCACACTTTTTTCTTTATTTTTACATTCAGAATGCTTTAAAAATTCCATTTACAAGACAATTGTTTATAATGAAATTCTATTCAATCGGTAGACGCATAACGATTGAAAACAATATTTTTGTTTGAGTTTGGGTTTGACCAATTCGTAAAAAAACAAAAAAAAAACAAAACAAAACAAAAAAAAATAATTAAGACATGCGTGTCCGTCAACCTTAAACAATAATCTTTGTCAATTTTATTTTTCAGTCTTTATGATGGTCGATACTTGATCTATCTCTTACTGTTACATCCCCGGGCAACGCCGGGCTCTACTGCTAGTCAATCATAAGAAGAGAGAACTTGTTGTTGTCAGCAACAGGAATAGTTCAAGATGCGTGCTACAAATTAGAGGAGGTAAAATCAAAGATATACAGAAGTTCAAATATATGCGAAGTGTTTTAAAACAAGAAAAATGTAAAAAAAAATCAGAAGGAATAGTAAAATATACATTCCAAAATTATTAAGAAGCAGAATAAACAAGAATGCTGAACTGCTATAAAATATCAATATTCCTATATAACAGTCAATGCTGGAAAATTTCGCCACAGATGAAGAGGCGAACTGAAGCAACGCAGATGTGATTTTATAGAAGGATGATAAGAATACCATGGACGGAACATTTGAGTAAGTAGTAAGTTTGAATAGAAATGGAAACGTAAACGACACAGACTAAGAATGAAAAAAAAAAACGCAGGCGCAAAATTCTAGAAGACTTAATGAAAAAAGAAGGATTAGTTTCATTTTTCGTTTTTTTTTACGTCTTATCAGCCCTTTGTGTTTTTTACGGCTTATCAACCTTTTACAGCCCAAAATATTTTGGATTGCATTTTTGAGAATAACAATGTTTTTTTCCAGATACAAGTCCTAATATTTAACCCATAGCTTGGGGAGGAGATGGTCATCCCTCTTTGGTCATTGTGGAATGTCGCTACAGAACCAAACGCAAAAAAAACTATCCCAAATAACAGAAACTATTTTAGTGAGGTCTTCCAACAGCAGCAAAAACTAAAATGGATAGCATATGTAACTCAGATAGAAAATAATAATTTTTTACAGAAGGCTCGAGAGCCACTCGAGATAGAAAGTTACTTTAAGGGGGGTAGATTAGGAGAGATAGGAGAGAAATATAACGGTTAACTTTAGACTTGAACAGGCTTGTATTAATCGGGGAAACATCCTCTTGGGAGTCTGTTCCACAAAACAATGGTTCGCGGGAAGAAGCTGTTCGAGTGGAACTTCTCACCGGTGGAATACGGAGGGAATGTGGGTGGTTTGCTGCTATGTAATGTTGGGTCCTAACCGTCAATGTTCGACCTGGCGGAAACAAGGAAGGTAGCTCGTCTGAGCACTTTCGATTGTAGCAATAATAGAGAGGTCAGAGGTTCAACACGTCCCGTCTGCGAGAGAGATTGAAGGGTGGAAAATAATTCGCAACCTAGAAGTAGCCGGAGAGACTTTTGAACTCTATCAAGACTGGAAAGTCAGGACTGGGCAGCTCCTGTCCGAATATGGAAACAGTAATCCATACTGGACTTTAGAAACCTGTTTTCCTTAGAGAAAGATTTCAAACGAAAGCAATACTGGCTGCTAGGTAAGTGAATGCCAATTTTTTCCTTAGAGGGAAATAGCTGATAATTCGATTACCACAACAGATCTGTTTTGCATTTTAGGGAGTTATTCTGTCATTCATTTACTCAAACCCATCAAGTAAATTACAGCTAGTTTTCTCCTAATTCTCGTGTTTCTAATGCACCCGGTGAGAGTTAAGTTGTTAACTGCAACAAAAAGATTAAAATTAAATAAGCTGCGCTCGTAATATGTAGTCAACTTGGTTTAGTACAACACGGGGCGAAGATGATGCCTTGAAAATCAACATTTGAAATCATGGCTTACTACGTAAACTCGAATGCCAACCAATAGCGTCAGTGGGAAATTCTTAATAACTACAACCATAAAACAGGGTATGAGTATGTTCGTGCGAGTGTAGATGTAAACACAAATCGGTGCGTGTGTATTTCTGTTATAGATGTGTGTGTCTGTGTCTGTGCGTGCGAAGGAAAGAAAGTTGAAAAAAAAAGCTCTCGTTTTTGTTTTTAATTTATTTATTTTATTATTATTATTATTTTTTATTTTTTTATTTTTATTTTTGCAGAGATTAGCCGTTTGCTATTGAAAATGGCTTCTAGAGCCGAATGAAAAGGCCGAGAGAAAATGAGTGTCGAATTCTGATTTGCAAAGTTCTTTTGCTCAGGGAAGAGTAAGGCTGGTAGGCCGAGGAAGAGGAAATGGTGTCGATCAGCGGACATTTCTCGGAACAAATTACTCAATAAAGCTGGTACTTTCAGCACTGATGGCGTCGACAGCGAAGAAGATGACGGCATCGGTGGAGTTGACGCCAACCCAAATGATTCTGATTACGATGATGGAAGAATCGGGATGTTGGTGTGGTGGAGGCAGGCACGTTGGTATAAGAAGGGGCTGAGGAGAGTGGACCACGGTTGAGAGATGGAAAAACTTGCTTAAGGATAGTGATGAAGAGCAATGAACGCGAGAGAGATGATGGCATTAGCCACGAATACCGCCGACTCCATTCCGATTGTGTCTTTTTTCAACATATTGTTCGTTTTCCCTTCTTTACATGTATTTTTTCATTCCTATTCTTCTTTCATTCAGGCTTTCTTTCTTTCTTTTTTCTTCATATCCTTTATATCTTTCGTTGACTTCTTTTTATTTCGGTTTTTATATTTTCTTTCTTTCTTTCTTTCTTTCTTTCTTTCTTTTTTTCTTTCTTTCTTTCTTTCTTTCTTTCTTTCTTAATGAATGTTTTTGTTTTTAACTTCTGTATTTCTTTTTCTTCTTTTTATGTCTTTTTATGACTTTCATTGATTTCTCTTATTTAAGTTTTTCTTTCATTCTTTCTTTCATTTTTTTCTTTAATTCATTCTTTCTTTCCTTCTTCATTAATTCATTCATTCTTTCCTTCTTTCTTTCTTTCATTCATTCATTCTTTCTTTCTTTCTTTCTTTCTTTCTTTCTTTAAATATGTGTTTTCGATTCCTTAGGATATTTTCTTTCTTTTCTTTTTATTCTGTTCTTTTTCCTTCTTTCTTTCATTCTTCTTTTTTTTTTGTTTCTTTCTTTTTTCTTTCATTACTTTTTGTTTGTTCGTTCGTTTGTTTGTTTTTTTTCTTTCTTTCTTTCTTTCTATATCTGTTTTCGATTTCTCTTCTTTAGGACATTTTCTCTCTCTCTCTCTCTCTCTCTCTCTCTCTCTCTCTCGTTCTTTCTTTTCTCTTTGTCCTTTAAAGCTTCTTTATCTGTCAGTCCCACTTTTTTACGTTTGTTTTTTTCTTTCTTTTTTTATTTTTACATTTCTTTCTTTTTTTCACATTCTTTATGCTTCTATTTTTCTTTTTGTTTCTTAAATTTCTTTTTACGTCTGAATTTCATCGATTTTTCGGATTTTCTTTCTTTCTTTCTTTCTTTCTTTCTTTCTTTCTTTGCAATATTTTCCGTTATTTCTTTTCATTCTTTTCTACATCTTTTTCTTTCTTTCTTTCTTTCTTTCTTTCTTTCTTTGCAATATTTTCCTTTATTTCTTTTCCATTCTTTTCTACATCTTTTTCTTTCTTTCTTTCTTTCTTTCTTTCTTTCTTTCTTTGCAATATTTTCCTTTATTTCTTTTCATTCTTTTCTACATCCTTTTCTTTCTTTCTTTCTTTCTTTCTTTCTTTCTTTCTTTCTTTCTTTCTTTCTTTCTTTCTTTCTTTCTTTGCAATATTTTCCTTTATTTCTTTTCCATTCTTTTCTACATCCTTTTCTTTCTTTCTTTCTTTCTTTCTTTCTTTCTTTCTTTCTTTCTTTCTTTCTTTCTTTCTTTCTTTTGCCACGACTTCCCTGTTTTAAAGTTCCCTTTAATCCCGATGTTTCTTCAGTTCGTTTTTTTTTTTTTTTTTGAGGGTGGGGCAATGCAATTTAACTTACAGTTTTTTTCCACAAACTAGCTTTTATAAACGTGCATGTCATTGTTCTTATATATATATATATATATATATATATATATATATATATATATATATTCTTTTTCTGTTATTATCTTAAATACCTCTAAGAATTTTTAAAATTTCCTCCCTCCCTGATTTTGTTTTTTTACGTCTATTTCTTCATCTTATCATTTTTAGTACATCTTTTTCTTCCTCTCTTTGTGTTCACATTTCTTTTTCTTTCTTTCTTTCTTTCTTTCTTTCTTTCTTTCTTTCTTTCTTTCTTTCTTTCTTTTATCTTTATCTGTTTCTCTTTCTATCGAAAGAAAGAAGGCTGTCGCATTTTCATTTCTCTTACTTTTTCCAAGCACTTTCTCCCTCTCCCTTATCAACCACTCCCTATCCAGTATTCTGTCTTTTCTTTTCTCCCTCTCTCTTTCTCTCTCTCTCTCTCTCTCTCTCTCTCTCTCTCACTCTCTTTTGCAGCATCTGCCTTGGCAGTTCCTATAATCACCAACACCCCCCGACACTTACACCCAAAGTATTAAGCCTGTAATATTCGTTAATTAGATGATTATCAATTCAATAAGTAAGGATGTTACACCCTTATTTTGATCAAATTAACATTACAGGCTTGTTGGGGATGACAAGCTGTGTAATTATACTCCTCTGCTGCTGCTACAACCATTCCACTAATGAACATGCGGTGACGAAGGCGATGGAGGAGCTGGTGGTGGCTAGAATGGTGCGAGAAAGGCCGAACAGATAGTTGACGAACACGCAGTCGCTGATTACACTCCATCTCGACGCATAGTCATTTTCACGCGCGCACGTATACAAACTTGTATCAATAAACACCATAACGAAAGCCGAGGGTGTAGAACTGAACATTGTCACTTCAGACAAGAAATGCTGTTTTTACAGCTCATATCTCAGATTTAAACAATATACGATCTTTTTCTTGAAAAAAAAAGTGTGTTCAACTGCTACGTAATATCAATCCTCCAATGTTAGTGAATATCGGACAATTTCATCATAGACGTAGAGGAGACTTGAGGCAACAGAGATACGATTCTACAGGAGGATGTTGAGAATGCTTTACATTGAAGATATAAGCAACGAGGAAGTTTTAAGGAAAATTGAAACACAAAGGACAATTAGCAACCACAAAAGAACAGTTGAAATTTCTTGAACACATAATGTAGAAAGAGGGCTTGGACAATTTGGCCCCCCCCAACAAAATAGGGGCAGAGAGAAACATTGAGTAACCTACCTAATAAGCCCGTGTAAATGGATGGCAAAACAAAGGGTTGACGGAATAGTCAAAAGACAAGAGTTATATAGGATTGAAAGCTGTGGAGATCCACCACAAAAAGGAAGGTATTTATCTAATCAATTCACACAAGCAAGACAATAATGCCACTAAGATGCGAGGGGCTACTGGAAGTGAAAGAGAAAGAAAACACTTTAGAAGGGATCGGAAATCCAATCCTAATCAAGAAACAAGGGATAAGCCTCTACTCCTGTTCAAAAGACCCGGGAGGAGTGTAAATAAAAAGTAATGCATATAAGGTTAATACAGCAACATCTTTTACACAAGCTTAAGACAACTTAGAAGTGCATATGTAATGAGCATAAATCTTTGTTGTCTGTGCAATTAGTCAAATGTTGTTCACAAACAGTACAAAATATTTATAAATAAATAAAATTGATTCGGCATAAACTTAAAAATGGCATTTTAGAGAAAGGCATCTCGGTTAATGTTTAGACACTTGTCTTTTTCTCTTTTTGCTATTAGATTCAGATAAAAAAATGGATTAATTCTTATAAAATACCACGTTACTTCAGGATATAGGCGATCATGGCTCTCCACAGATTCCTTTTCTTTATTATTTGTGAGTTACTTTGACAACTTGGAAAAGATAGTGAAGTGATATCTCATTGCATTCTCCATTCATTTCAAAGTTATCCTTTTTACAGGATGGAGACAATCATGGTTCTCCACAGCTTCTGGTTATTATCTGAGAATTACACTACTTTCTTGGGGAAGATTCTAGAATGATTTCTCGTTGCCTTATTCACATTTTGAAATTTAAAGTTTTTTTTTTACATAGAATTGCCACCCAATGCTAAAGAGTCTACTTTGCTATTTATCCCATAATTGGGAATTATCTTCAACCTAAAAACTAACCTGACTGTTACTTCATTTTAGACAGAGGAGGAGGCTGTTTCCATTGTATTTACCCATTAAGTAAACAAACTTTCGTATTCACTATTTCAATTGTTAGTTGTTTCAATTGCTTTGAAAGCGAAAACTACAATATGATTGGTCTACATATGAAGAAGAAATATATAATTAGCATATAATTGTTTTTAATGCTATATTCTTACTAGAAATAAGCGACCATGGCTCTCCACGGAGTCCTTTTATTATATTATTTGTAATTTGTAATTACATTCACTTAGATGCTAATACCCTTGGGAAAGGTATGAATCCTCTTCTTCTCCCCCCAGCTATGAGTAAATAGCAGGACAGACCGGGTTCTATAGCCTCGGATGGCAAATTGTCTACCGCAGAAAGAAATGGCAACCTACTGCGGGAAAAAATTGCCTCATCGGTCATGTATCGAAAAATAATTGTTTTTCTTCAAAAACATATTGCTAGTAATAACTTTGTTTTTCAAAATATTTCTGGTATTAAAATCTATTTTTACACTTTCATAATGTTTTGACCACAGTTTGGCGGTTAACTATTTGCCCATAGCTGGGACCCTAACAGGTGCTACTACCCCGGGTCAACGCTTCTCAAAACCTCCTGATCAGAGGCCTTGCTGTTGGACGTAGATTGGATAGATGGCATTCTCTTTGTCCTCTTGTACATTGAATTACTAAAAGGGGCATGTAAAATATTACGGTGAAAATCGCTTGAATAGCTATTCAGTTATTCCGGAATTAAATCAGAACGGGCCTCCAGCACGCTCCTAACAGAAAACATTAATCGTACTGATGAATATTACGTTTACCATTTTTGAAAAAAAAATTACAAGCGATACATTTTTGAAGAAAAATATTACCAGAAATATATTTTTGAAGGAAAAAAAATTACCAGCAATATATTAGAAAAAAATATATTAACAGCAATAAAAATTTTGTGGGCATTAAATAAACCATTGAGGTTGATATACCGTAAATCAAAATAAACCAAACCATTTGCAACAATTTAAAATGCCGTGATTTTTCTAAATTTGTAAATTTAAGAACGTTCATAAATATTCATCAGGCGGACTGAAAAGTCTCGGTAAATTATGGAGGATGTCAAGTGACGCAATTTAATAATCAAAAGTAAGTAAATGATGTTGCTCCTGATTTTTTTTATAATATAATTATTATTATTATTATTAGTTTATTTTAGTTAGATAATACTTGCTGCAAATACTTGCATCTACCTTGATAAAATTCATCAAAGGACGAAATGCGTCGGCTAAGATAAGTTTTCCTTTTGCCTTTATATATATATATATATATATATATATATATAGATAAATAGATAGATAGAGTTTGAATATGATGGATGCCTTTCCATCTCTTTTAGACGTTCAATACATGTAAATATATTTGTGTATGAGTTTTTCAAGCAATACATGGCATATGGTTTGTCTGATCCAGCAAAGAGATAAAGTTTCAAATTCATTCCTTTGGAAATCACCGATATTTCTAACGTGATCATGGAAAATTAGCTACCGCTTGACGAAAAGTCGAAATAAATAGCACCGAAAGACTAGAATTCATCTACCGAATAATTTCGAATTCAATAAATGGGGAAAAAAACGCAAAGAAAAGAAAAGAGATTCCATGTCGAAGCATTTTCATCCTTGTTGGCAGAAGTTGAGTTTTGGAGGTAGAAACATCGCCCGAAGAAACTATGACTTCCAAATAACCCAAAGATGTAAACACATTTTGTAAAAACAGCTCTGACGTTAATTTTTATAGAATTTACAGTATCTCATCACTGTTTCCCGCATCAAGTATCGATTTCTACGAGATGCATAATGGCTACCTTTCTTTTTTTCTTAAATCCAATACGTCTTCGTCATGTATGTTGTTGACTCTCTACGTTGCAAACGTAATATTCATCAGTACGATTAATGTTGTCTGTTAGGAGCGTGCTGGAGGCCCGTTCTGATTTAATTCCGGAATAACTGAATAGCTATTCAAGCGATCTTCACCGTAATATTTTACATGCCTCTTTTAGTAATTCAATGTACAAGAGGACAAAGAGAATGCCATCTATCCAATTTATGATAACGGTTCAAACTGTGTCTTTTTGAAATTTATTTTTGAACTCTCTATTGTTATGTCACTCTTCTGTTCCCTAATAACACTATCTATCTATCTATCTATCTATCTATCTATCTATCTATCTGAATATCTTTTTAATCTATCTCTTTATCTATCTATCTCAGTCTCTTTATAACTAATTTTCTCGGTGTCTTCATAACTCTGTCTCTTTCTTTCTTTCTATCTATTACGGTGAAGATCGCTTGAATAGCTATTTAGTTATCTATCTATCTATCTATCTATCTATCTATCTATCTATCTAGATAGATAGATAGATAGATAGATAGATAGATAGATAGATAGATAGATAGATATGTGTGTATATATGTAATATTTAATAATATGTAATAACATTCAATACTTATCGAATACCGACTCCGAGTTTCGTAATTTTTCATTATCTATCTATCTATCTATCTATCTATCTATCTATCTATCTATCTATCTATCTCAGTCTTTTCAGAACTAATTTTCTCGGTCTCTTCATATCTCTGTATCTATCTATCTCAGTTCATTCTCTATCTATCTCAGTCTTTTTATAACTAATTTTTATCGGTCTCTGTATGAATCTGTCTCTAACTAAATAGATAGATCGATAGATATGTGTGTAGATATATTATTAAATAATATATATATATATATATATATATATATATATATATATATATATATATATATATATATATATATGTTAGCAGCATGGCCTGGCGTTGCCTGTGCTTGATTCAAAAATCGTACGACTCATACAGCAATCGCTATCACTTGACTTAAAATATTTTTGCCCTTCCTTGCCTTTAGAGGAGTGCCCTTTGCCGTGCTGATGTTGCTACATGCCTTACTTCTTGCCTATCTGACACTGCGAAGTTTTCCTAAGCTCTATACTAAACATTAAATCTGTTACGAAAAAGAACTAAACAAAATGAACACAAAACGATCAGCTTTAAAAAAGGACTCGTAACTGGAAAAACCGAATGAAAAAAGAATGTTAACAACAAATACTTTTTCACACCCAACCCAGTTCTGCGGAATCAGAATCAACGTTGAATTTAAGCAAGCGAATGCGCCTATTGAAGTAAAGTGCCATGCAGATTTTCCCACTTGTGACGAATGCAGCTATTGATTTTTTTGCATGCTAGCATGTTAGTTAACATTCGTGTCAGTCTGCTGTTGGCTCTCATGCTGGCCAATAGAATCTTCCTGTCTATTCGTG